CTCTCGAATAATTAATTAAAGTAGCTAAATGTTATAATTCATTAATTCAAAACAATTCTGATCTGACAGCATTATTTCATCTCTTTCTGATCTGAAGCGCAGAATGCGGAGCTAACGAGCTGTAGCTTCGTGTCAGGTGGTTCTTATCTTCACGTCGTGTATTAAAATCGTTCAATGTACAGCAAGCCGTGCATTATCCCTTATGTATTCGCTCTTTAGCAGCAGTTTTTTACAGCAATATTTTAATGACACCCTGGTCATTCTTGGTGTACCCAAAATGGTCCCACACTATCGACAGGCATTTCTCTGGTGGAAATAAAGCTTCGCTGTTTGGTCCCTCTGTCACAGTTCATCTAATGCATGTAGTAGCCTCGTGCCTATCACGTCATTTTAAGCTGGTGCACTGCTACTTTATTTTCGTTTTGCACAAGCTGCAACAGTTCTGTTCTGTGTAACAGAAACACTCGGTTTAGCGGAACCTTTACGATTAATTAACCGTGACGTTTTAAAGCGCGGTTAATCCCGAAACCGGTTAATCGCTGCATCCAGCACCAGCTTTTCCTGCATTTCCACTAGACTGCTGATATTTATGGTAACTGGTCAGTATACTTTACAAAGAAAAATTATGCACAGCTTAGGGCTGGACAATAATTCAATATCAATATGTATCGCGATATAATTTTTTTCAATAACGGTGATATGATTTTTAAACACATTTCCGATATTTCGATATACATTGCCAGTGTTTCCCATACATAGATTTATTTGTGGCATTTGACTTTGTTGAATAAACATGAGCACTGCACGTTTCAAAATCAAAACGCGTCGCGGGTGTTTTATATGAATGTATCTCTGAAGGGAACCGACTGTCTTCAGAATAGTTTCGATGGCATTTTTATTTGATCTGATAAAGTAGCGTTCATGCACAGAGCTGCTTTGTTTACAGCCGTTACTGGAGAAACCGCTAGTTTTATCACTCTAAAAGCGCCTCGTGCTGGCAGAGAATCAGTTTGCATTTTCAATAAGCCAGTCTCCAGCAACATTTCCAGTTTTTGTTGTTGTTCAATTTTTTTGTTTTCTGCAGCGACTCGGAGCACTTTTCATACCCTTTTTTC